CAAACCCCTACACCCTAAACCTTAAACTCTAAACCCTAAACCCAAAATCCTAAACCCTAGGCCTAAACCATTAAACCTAAACCCTAACCCTAAGCCTTAAATCCTAAATGCTAAACCCTAAATACTAAACCATAAACCCTAATCCCTAAACCCCTAATTTTCCTAAAAACTAAACCCTAAGCCTTAAACCCCTAAACCATAAACCCTAAACCCTAATCCTAAACCCTAAACCCTAAATCCTAAACACTAAACACTAAACCCTAAACCCAAAACCCTAAACCTTAAATCCTAAACACTAAATCCTAACCCCTAAACCCTATACCCATAAACCCTAAACACTAAACACTAAACCCTAAACCCTAAACTCTAAACCCTAAACACTTAACCCTAAATCCCCTTACCCATAAACACAAAACCCAAACCATTAACACTAAACCCAAAACCCTAAAGCCTAAAGCCTAACCCTGAACCCTAACCCCTAAACCCTAAACCCTAACCCCTACACCCTAAAGTCATAAACCCAAACCCCTAAACCCTATATCCTATAACCTAAATCAAAAACACAAAACTCTAAACCATAAACCCCAAACCCTAAACCTTAAACCTTAAACCCTAAACCATAAACCATAAACCATAAACCATAAACCCTAAACCCTAAACACTCAAGCCTAAATCCTAAACCCTAATGCTAAACCCTAAAGTATATTTCCTAAACTCTAATCCCCAAACCCTAATCCTAAACCAGAAATGCTAAACCCTAAACCCTAAAATTTAATCCCTAAAAAACCATAAACCATAAACCATAAACCCTAAACCCTAAACACTCAAGCCTAAATCCTAAACCCTAATGCTAAACCCTAAAGTATATTTCCTAAACTCTAATCCCCAAACCCTAATCCTAAACCAGAAATGCTAAACCCTAAACCCTAAAATTTAATCCCTAAAACCTAAACTATAGCCCTAAACCATTAATCCTAAACCCTACACCTAAACCCTAAACCTAAACCCAAACCCTAGCCTCTAAACCCTAACCTCTAAACAATGAACCCCTAAGCCTAACTCCCTAAATTCTGAAACCTAAATCGTAAACCCTAAACCCTAAACCTGAAACCCTTAACACTAAACCTTAAACCCTAAACCCTAAATCATAAATCCTAAACCCTAAATCCTAATTCCTAAACCCTAAACCCCAAATCGTAAACTATAGCCCTAAACCATTAATCCTAAACCCTACACCTAAACCCTAAACCTAAACTAAAACCCTAGCCTCTAAACCCTAACATCTAAAACAATAAACCCCTTAGCCTAAACCCCTAAATTCTGAAACCTAAACCGTAAACCCTAAACAATAAATCCCAAACCCTAAACCCTAAACCCTAAACCCCAAACCATAAACCCTAACCCCTAAACTCAAAACCCATAAACTGTAAACCCTAAACACAAAACCCTAAAACCTAAACCCTCAGCCAAAACCCTAAATCCTAAAATCCTAAATTCTAAATCGTAAACCCTGAACCTATAACCCTAAACCCTAAAATATAAACCCTAAACCCATAAACCCAAACCCCTAAACCCTAAACCCTAACCCCTAAACCCTAAACCCTAACCATAAGTCCTAACCTCAAAACCCTAAATCCTAAACCCTAAACCCTAAATGCTAAACCATAAACACTAATATCTAAACCCTAATTTCCTAAAGACTAAACCCTAAACTCTAAACCCTAAACCTAAACCATAAAACTTGAACCCTAAACCTTAAATCCTAAACTATAAAGCCTAAACCCTAAACCCTAAACACTAAACACTAAATGCCAAACCCTAAACCCTAAACACTAAATGCCAAACCCTACACCCTAAACCCCAAACCCTAAATTCTAAATCCTAAACCCTAAACCCTAAACACTAAACCTTATACCCATAAACACTAAACCCTAAACCCTAAACCCTAAATCCCCTTA